ATCCATTCTAATTTATTTTTGTGATGGTGTGCACCTGAAAGTTTTCTGTCTTTCAAGGTCTCAGAAATAAAATACAACCAGGGTATGTGATGAGAGTTTTCCTGTTCTGGCTCAGAAAAATGTTCGCTTGTGTCGACACTCTTTGGTCTGGTTTTCACTGCCAGCCTTCATTCCTCCATATCTGTTTGTTATACGTATTCTGCCCCAGACACTTTGCTAGAATCTGGGAATAGACACATAAAAGACCTAGTCAAAGACTTGGAAACACCTACAATCTAGATACTTGAATGAATGCAACCCAATATGGTGAAGGTCTTTTAATAGAGGGCAGCTGTGGAGACACATGGAGTGGACACTTCAGGGCAGAGAGAGGGAAGATGTCAGGGAAGACTTCCCAGAAGGGTGATGTCTGAGCTGAGTTTTGAAGTGGGGTGGAACTGGAGGGACTGGGGGTAGGAAAACTTGAGAGAGATGCACCCATGAAGGCATGGGAGCCTAGCGATTTCAGACCTTCGTGGAGGGTTCCATGCACCCAGGATTCAGGACTTGAGGCAGAGACCATAGGCACAACAAAGAAAAATTAGGCAGGGGTTATTGAGATCACGGCTTTCAAATTACTATCATGGACAGTTCAGCAGGGCCAGCCATCCAGCTCCTATGAGCTATTTTTCATATTTAAATTTTAACTGAAAAAAAAAAAACAAAACTCTAAAGCAATACATGTGTATGGTAGGAAATGAAAAAATATAGATAAGCAAATTGAAGAGAATTATACCACCCACAATCCTGCTACAAAAGCTCTTTTAACAACTTATAAATCATTTCAGATTTGTATGTGTTTTCCTTTAATAAAAAATTCTGTTAAACTCTACTTACTACTTTGTGGCCTGCTTTTCTGTTCAGTTAGTATTTTAGAAACAGTTTTAACATGTAAATGGACGTTCTTCCGTATTGTTTATAATGTCTGAATAGTAGTATATCTTTAGTCATACCATAATGTGTTAAAAAATGCACGTATGGGTGTGAATGTATTTGAATATTGGACATTTCAATTGTTTCAATATTTCGCTATTGGAAATAGTTCATAGATAAACACTCTTACATACACCCTTAATTACTTCCCTGAGTCTATGTCAATAGCTTTATTAAATGTCAATCTTAAAATAACAGGTTTGTAAGATTAATGTACCTGGAATAATTAGAAAGCAATGCAAAACCAAACATAACCATGTGTCCCTCTTAATCGTCCTTAGTTGTTGCCACACCTTAAGTAGTGACCGTCCCACACCTTGCCTTACAGTAGTCAACTACTCAAATCTACCATCAGAAAATGGAATGAAGGTGAATGAAGCAGGGTTCAGTTCAGTTTAACAGGCAATGGAAGGGGATGACGGAAGCCAGGGAGCTCAGTCTGGGGAGGAAGGCATCATTACCTGCAGTAGATGCAAGAGAGGTATGCCTGAAACTCAGAGAGCACCCAGAGGAGGGACATGCAGCCCAGTGTGGCAGGTTGGGTGGGGGTGAGGGTGGGAGGGCCTCCATGAGTGGGATGACCACCAAGTTGGGCTGTGGTGGAGAGCAGTCAAATAACAGATCAAGTAGGGGTTTGGGGAGTAGGGTGAGTGGTTAAGACAAGTGACATCCAAGATGCTTTCTATATTTGTTTGCAATCTCCAGAAAAACAGTTCACCCTTCCTTCCCTTTTTGGTTCTCTTCAGCCCCTCAATGCATGGGTTGATGGCAGTCCACATTGGTGAGGGTGGTCTCCTTTACTCAGCCTTCCTATTCAAATGCTAATCTCTTCCAGAAATACCCTCATAGACACACCCTGAAATAATGTTGTTATGGTTTTGTTAAATTAACATTTGTTAAGTGGAGCATAGTGCTGTATGGTGAGCCCCAGTTCAACAACAGCACAAGAGAACTTGAAATAGAGAAGTCTGTTACTCACAGGTCCTGGAGGAAGTACTCGGCCTTAAGGGGCCACATGGGGAGGTCAAGGCAGAGTACAGACAAAGAGAGAGGCAGAACCCAAATACATGGCTTGATTAGGGTTCTTAGGCAAGGGCCAGATTGGTCAATTCAAACCAGAAAGAGGATTTTAGTAAGCTCCATGGTGGTCTATCTAAAGGGCCCATAAGGCATACAGGGGCTGGGAGCAAGGGTCGATTCTGGATCACAAGGGCGGTTAGGGAGGTCATGTCAGGACCTTAAATTTGATTGTGACCCTGCAGGCTGCTGTCTAGGGCATGCACTTGCAGGAGGGGCTGATGTCAGGTCAAGGTCCCTCAAGGCTGCATGGCCAAACAAAATGGCTGCTGAGGCAGCATTACCATGGCATAGTTTAGCTAAACCCTTGACAAGCATTTTACCAGCTATCTGGGGGGACCTAAGTCCAGTCAAATTGACACATAAAATTAACCATCAACTTCCCAATGCTGCAAATATATACTTCTATAAAATAATAAACTACTTAGTAGACATTTTTTTTTTTAATTTTTTACGTTTATTTTTGAGACAGAGACAGAGCATGAACGGGGGAAGGGCAGACAGAGAGGGAGACACAGAACCGGAAGCAGGCTCCAGACTCTGAGCCCAGAGCCCGATGCGGGGCTTGAACTCACGGTCTGTGAGATCGTGACCTGAGCTGAAGTCGGACGCTTAACCGACTGAGCCACCCAGGTGCCCCCTTAATAGACATTTTTACTTGCATCATATCACATGATCCCCATCGTGTCCTTGCAGGAGAATAGATGCTATCCCCATTGATACTGAGAAGTACCTGAGGCTCACACTGGTAATGGAAGGGGGAGATGGGATGCCAACCTAAGCCCTAAGCCTCTTCTAATCCAAACCCCAGGTGGCATCAGTACCTCACTTGGGTGCTCTTGGGCTGAATTCCTTAGCAGGTGATATTCCCTGGACCTGTTATGCTTTCCTTTTTTTTTTTTTTTTTTTTCCTGTTCATCCTTTGAGGAGAGAAGGAGTAAGCATTCATGGAGACCTTACTGAATGCAGACTCTGTGTTAGGTGTTTTATGTAAATTATTTAATTGTCATAACATCTCTGTGAAAGACGCAAGGAAGTTAGTCTCACCTGCCAGGTTAGGTAGTGTGGTTAAAGGCACCCAAAAATGTGACAGGGCAGGAAGTTTATCTGACATTAGAGACCACGTGTACATTTCTGTGTGGCCCAGGGCATTGGTTTCCTAGCCAGGCTTCCTCTGCACCATGTCAAAATATCCAAGGTCAGAGGAGTGGTCCATTAGTGTAGGCTATTCTATGGTAGGACTCCTACTTCTGCTACCTGCAAAACTGACCCAGATTAGGAAGTTCTTGGGTTGCTGTCACTCTTGCCTGGCCTCTTATTTCTATCACAGCAGCTGGTCTGTTGAGGTGTGTCTGTTAGACTTAGAACACGAGTGCCTGTGGGCCTCAGTTGGGCCAAGTTAAGAAAGTGCCCTGATCTGACATTCTGAGGACTAGCCTGAGATGTTCCTTTTCTTTTCTATTTAACTGTTAAGCGACATGATGAGATGTCTTGACAATGGGGAAGAGAGAAATCGGGTGGTGGAGGGGAGGAAGATAAAGGTGGGGGACACCACAAGACCAGCAGCGTAGCACGACTGAGCCCCCCCGCCGAACCACATGGGTGAATGCTACTATTCTTCTGATCAATCTTTTATTCTCCCTTTCCTTCTTAGCATATGGGTAGATGCTTCAGGTCATGAAAAAATATATTCAGTGGAATGAAACATAGTAGATATTTACTAAGAAACTAAAAATGAAAGTTAGACATAAACTATTTTATTCCACTGAAATATTTGGCTGAACTCATAAGAACAGTGATAAGATCATTCTTGGACACCTGCACTGAAATGAACCACGAGAAGAATATTTAGGGAAAATGAAGAGCATATTTGGCATACTGAAAGAGCTTCTTCAGGCCCAGGGAGCGGGATGAAATTGGCATGATCATTTTGGAGAATATGAGTCAAACAGAGAACTGGAATGAGGTTTTCAAGGAGGATATATTAGGGGAGTAAAAGGCCAATAAACAGCCCTTGTGTTTGTAGAAAAATATGGAGAGTAAATCAAGGAATTCAAAAGTGAAGAGAAAATTCAAATAAGGGAGGAAAAACCCTGTAATCCTCACTGGTCTTCATAAATACAAAGAAAACAAGCGAAAATGAGATATCAGAAGTCAGCAAGATTTTATGGGAGTATAAAGTTAATCTTAAGCAAAGCCCATTTCATTGCTGTAGGAAACTCCCAGCTGAGTGCTGACTAACTATGGACAGCTGATCTCCTCAAAGCCAAGTTTGGGTGATTCTTGCTCTTGGCTCGTACCCTCGCACTTCTGGGTCCTGTGCGAACCAACACTGTCCCAGAGTTCCAGAGGGTGGGCCGAGGCTAGATATTGGAGTTGGCCCTTTACTTTATTGTGCTGATTCTTCTCAGGGAAGAATAAAAATTAAGAATAAAGGGACACGTGTTAGAATTTTAGCTGTCAGAGACGAATACAAAATATCAAATTGACTCCAACAACTTGAGTCACCTCGAAAACTCCCAGTCTCTTAGGATAAAGAATATATAATCCTATTTAGAAATTCCTGGTGTGATCATAATCCAGGATTGGTTCTTTTCACGAAGCCTATTAATTAAAAATTACATAATCCAAAGTCAATTAAGTAGTAAGATATTATAACAAATTCTTATTTCATTAACTTCTCAAAGTATGAATAATGACTTCGAGACAAGAAATTCACATTTTCCACTGGCTACTGAAAACCAATAGAAATAATTCCAGTCGTGGTAGCAGCTCGCTGTGGGCTGACCTACCCCTGAAATAATTTATTGTTTCCAGGTGACTTTTACATTGTGGGGTGATTCATTAAGTTAGGCTTGATGTGAAACAGACACCAATAGAGTTGACGATTCAGAAATGTATTACATATTTCTTCTCGCAGAGATAAATTCACCATGGCTTTTCTTTTATAGGCTCATGCCAAAATCTGGCATCTCTACAATACTTCTTTCCGTCCAACTCAGGGAGGCCAGGTCTCCATCGCCCTAAGCTCCCACTGGATCAATCCTCGAAGAATGACCGACCACAGCATCAAAGAATGTCAAAAGTCTCTTGACTTTGTACTAGGCTGGTTTGCCAAACCCATATTTATTGATGGTGACTATCCTGAGAGCATGAAGAATAATCTTTCACGTCTTCTGCCTGATTTTACTGAAGCTGAGAAAAAGTTCATTAAGGGAACAGCTGACTTTTTTGCTCTTTCTTTTGGACCAACCTTGAGTTTTCAACTATTGGACCCCCACATGAAGTTCCGCCAGTTAGAATCTCCCAGCCTGAGGCAACTCCTTTCTTGGATTGACCTTGAATATAACCACCCTCAAATATTTATTGTGGAAAATGGCTGGTTTGTCTCAGGGACCACTAAGAGAGACGACGCCAAATATATGTATTACCTCAAAAAATTCGTAATGGAAACCTTAAAAGGTAGGATTGGGGATAAAATTCTAATTTCTTGCTGAAAGCAACAGGAAAATCTTTCAGATGATCTGTAATAAACTATGTGAATTTATAGATTTTAATTGTAATGAAGAAATTCATTTTGGCAATAGTAGAAATGCACTTATGTAACACCTTTCTCATTTGGGGACTTGAGGAACTTAAATTCATTTTTAACTCATTTTGAAAATGAGAAACTGGGTTATAATGTGTGAAAACACTTGACTTTCAGAGTTAGTACTCTAGAATTTTAGATTATATTAAGGATTAAGTGAATCCCAGGACATCTAGATCTCTGTACATGTTTTTGGGTTCTTATTATTTGCACTGAATAAAACAATTTTTAAAGAAAAAAGAATATCAACCCTTTCTGAAGAAAATATTAAGTAGTTTATTCTTTTAAAGATTGTGTTCACTTATTGTGGCAAGCACAATGCTAGGATAGAAAATGGAGCAAGACCATCATCTCAGGCCCAAAGAACACCTACTGGAAATAAAAATATTCCAAGTAAAAACATACTGGAGATAAGCATGTTGGTGAAGACATTTGTTTGTAGAATTACCCAAGTGTGACAGCCTTTTATTAGTAAGAAAGTCATTGGTTTACCAAACAGCGACCATTATACGCAACTTATTTCCGTAAGTAGTAAACCCTTCAAATGCTCTTGACACATGAGGCCAGTGCCTGGCTAGGGGTCACATTGTTCTTGTCCTCTCTTCTCTTTGCAGCCATTAGGCTGGATGGGGTGGACGTCATTGGGTACACGGCCTGGTCCCTTATGGATGGCTTCGAATGGCACAGAGGTTACAGCATCAGGCGTGGACTCTTCTATGTTGACTTTCTAAGCCAGGATAAGAAACTGTTGCCGAAATCTTCAGCCTTGTTCTACCAAAAGCTGATAGAGAAAAATGGCTTCCCTCCTTTACCTGAAAATCAACCTCTAGAAGGGACATTTCCCTGTGACTTTGCTTGGGGAATTGTTGACAACTACATTCAAGTAAGTCAGCTGACAAAACCAATCAGCAGTCTCACCAAGCCCTATCGCTAGTAAGTAGTGCTTCCTTATTAGGTTGTCATGACACATTGTCCATTCTTTGGGCCAGACGTGATTCCTTAATGAGAACATTAAGGGCACAATTTGGAACATTGCACCCTTCTCTCCACAAATCTTCCTAGCTTCATCTTGCACTTTAAATCAGTCCCAAAGGAGGAACAGATTTAAAATATATGAATATTTAATATCTGAAAAGATAGTAAAAAGATAAAAATACTCCCTTTTAATACAGTGGTTTTGGAAGAACTTGTTTATGAGTTTTTCCATAAACAAGATAGGACAAACAACTTCAAATTTTCTGAGATCTCAGTGGAGCTGCTGAGTCTGAGGCAGGAACATTAGGCAGAGCCCTGCCGGGGCTTAGCTGCACCCTGTTGCAGAAGCATCTCAAGCGGTGAAAACTCTTGCTCCAATGGTTCACTGCTTGAAGTTTCATTTCTAGAACTAGTTATCGAAAGGGTAAGGAAGTTCTTCAAAATGGTCAACCAATATTTATTGAGCACTTACTACTTAGTTAATCCTCAGTATATTTTTAACTTTCCAATTTTAAAGGAATTTGTTTTCTGGAGCTTGATGGACTATTTTAGGAGGCACTTATTGGATGCTTAGCATGCACAAAGCCCTGTGTTCATTGCTGGGGATGCTCCGTTGAGGGGAGTGCACACTGACATGGGTAAGATTGACCCCTGATTTCAAAGATGTCTACTGCTGGGCGCCTGGGTGGCTCAGTTCGTTAAGCATCTGACTTTGCTTCAGGTCATGATCTCACAGCTCGTGATTTAGAGTCCCACATAAGGTAAGCTTGAGCCCCGCTTCAGGTGAACACAAGCCCTGCTTCGGGTGAGCCCCTCTCCTCTCTCTCTCTCTCTCTCTGCACCTCATGGGATTCTCTCTCTCTCCCTCTCTCTCTGCCCTCGCTTATTTGCACCCTGTCTCAAAACCAAAACAAACAAACAAACAAACAAACAAAAAACCTCATAGAGGTCTACTGAGGGAAAATGATTGATGTACAAATAATATAATAGAGTGCATGGAGCATGGTGTTAAGTGAGCAGGTGCTGGTGGGGTGTTGTTGAAAAGTCTGAGTGTGAAAATAGAAATCAAGACAGAGACATGGGCGCTTGGGCCGCTCAGCTGGTTAAGCATCCGAATCTTGATTTTGGTTCAGGTGGTGATCACTCAGGTCATGATCTCACAGTTCGTGAGTTCTAGCCTGTGTTGGGCTCCATGCTGACAGCACCAGCCTGCTTGGAACTCTCTCTCTCTCTCTCTCTCTGCCCTTCCACCACTTGCACACACACACACACTCCCTCTCTCTCAAAATAAATAAATATTAAAATAAGAGGCAGAGACAAAGTGTGGTATCCATAGACAAGCAAAGGCATTTGGCACTTAGCATGCTGTCGGATGCTTCTAGCCAACTCACTGGTGCAGTAGGAGAGGAAAATCACTTTCCCTCTACCCTTCTGAGCTCTTTAATTATAGGGAAAATTAAAAACAGACTAAAAAGAGAAACACAAGCAGGAGTATATTAACATGTGTACCTGATATATACATGGGAGATACTCAGACAAAAATGAGTTAAGTCCTTGAGGTGACTTAGAATTCAGGCTTAAATACCAGCTTAATAGAAAAAGCTGGAAGCAGAGGTGGGATACATGTCTCTTAGGGAAGAATAAGCAATTTTTAGGAAAGATGGATGGGCCCTTAGAAGGATAGATGGGAGCCACAAGAGTTTCTGACAAAGTCTGTCTGGGTCTTGTGGCCTCTGGTCTCCTGTGACGTGTCTCGATCTTCCCTGGGTGATGAAACTCCTGGGAGGGATTGATGAGAACAGAGTTCCTTCTGGAGCATCTGTCTTTAGGCAGGTAAGGGGAGTTCAGAGAAAGCCTTTCCCTGCATGTTATTATTCGAGTGCCTACAGCTCAAAATAGTATACCAGAGGGGCATATTTTGGGGTGGCAGGCCCTGAACTACGGTCACATTTTGGGGTGGCATATTCTGTTACCCTTCAGTTCAAAACAAGTATTTGGAAGAATGGTTGGATCTGAGGGAGGGTCTTTTAGTTGAGCTGGGTTGCTATTTTCTTGTAAACATCAAATGGCAGTCCTTTATAAGGAAATAAATAACACATTCCTTCATACATTTTTTGCTGGGTTGTATTATTCTTAGGTCTTTTGAAGACCTCAGTTTAAAAGACTTAGTTTTAAGGCACCTGGGTGGCTCAGTCAGTTAAGTTTCCAACTTCGGCTCAGGTCATGATCTCACGGGTTCGAGCCCCGTGTCAGTCTCTGTGCTGACAGCTCAGAGTCTGGAACCTGCTTCGGGTTCTGTGTCTCCCTCTCTCTCTCTGCCCCTCCCCTGATTGTGCATGCCCCCTCCCCCCAAAATAAGCAAACATTTAAGAAAAAGCTTAGCTTTAAGTCTCAGTCTTAAATCCCTTCTTACATTTAAAAGGCGACTGAGGGACATGTATTAGCCAGGATGTCTGAGCGTAGCTCTGCCCTGTTGGGTTTGGGGTTTTCCGCCCTCCTTCTCTCTCCTCCCTCAGCCTCTGCTCCTACCTCCTTTTCCTAATTTCTCTCCTGCAAGTGGGAACGACAGTGGGCTTCAAATAGGGTCTGGAGGTGCAGAAGTGGCTGGTGAGATGGGCTCCCCATCCTTCCTCCCTCCCCTGTATTTGTGCTCTGGACGGGTTAGTCCCTGGTCTTTGTTCTCTCTCATGACCTTGTGCCAGGCCCCGCTCTCTGCCAGGCTCTGTGCCCTTGGTCACTGAGGGCTCATGCTCCGCCTTGATGTCTAATAGCAGGGCAGGTAGTTCCCGCTTCAGTTTTCCGCCAGCATCTCTGTGCAGGCAGTGTGAACTTGGGAGGGACTGCACATTGGAGGGGACTCCTTCCCTCCTGCTCTGCTCCCCACCCCAGGACTGTGTTTGCCTTGGGAACGGGTAAGTAGTGAGAAGGTTTTAAGAGGACCACCTATTTCCTCAAGAGAGCAGAGAAACTCTAGGCAGATGCAACAAGTATGGCAGTGAGGAGGAAGGCAGATGGGGAGAGAATTGCTTTTTCTACCCCTCGGGGGCCGTTGTTTTAAAATTTGATCTGATGCCAACGAGACATTAGCCCTGGACCCTTCCCCTGAGGCTGCATTGCCATTTTACTTCATCACTTCCGGGGTCGTGGTGGTGGTGGTGGTGGTTGGTGGGGGGGGGGGGTCCTCTGTTCCTCCACCCACTGGAGCTCCCCAGTCTCTCCCACACCGACCCAGCCAAACACAAAACAACTCACTCTCAGACCCTCGGTGGGGGAACTTCTCCAGAAGCTCTCTAGTGGGAAAAGGTTGTCACTGCTGTTTTGTTCTTCCTGCTTTTCACCTTGAGCTTGGCATTATTTTGGCAGGGCCCCTTCCTGAGGGAACTTCCTAACCGACAAAGTGAAATTAGGGCAGTTCTGAGGAGTGTGTGCCTAGGTTTTCATTTACAAGCTGTTCTCTATACTTTTCATACATTGAATTAAAGTCCTGAGAAGTAATTTTTAAACCATTGAAAGTTATCTTTTCCCTCCTGGCTGGTATTTCAGTGACTCCCAGGGTCAGTGTCCCTGGACAACCACTAATGCTCATAGTAAATCTAGGTACAGAACCTGCCACATGCTGGGGACAGAAAGCCTGTTTAACATTGGCCACTAATAGGAGGTTTCTTCCACGATAAACGAAATATATACTTTATATCCATTTCTGAAAGGCTGCCCTTAATTTTTTCATTTTTTTATTAAGAAAAGTTGACAAATTAATGGAGGTTAGATAGAATTGTGCCTAAGTACTTATTTCTAAGCATCCTGTAGTTTCAAGAAACAGATCCCCGCCTCCCCCTTCCCCCCTCCCCCCAGAAATTGTACCTTAGTCTCTCATATTTATTTGCAGATGGACTGAATAAAACCTGCTGTTTTGGAAAAATTGTGGTAGAAAATGTATAAATTTAGTCAACTCAGAGCTCTATAAAAATAAGCCAAAGAATTCCTTCAAGCTATGAACACTTTCACTTCAAAAGAGCATGCAAATATTTTCTCTTGCAAAGCTGAGGAAACAAGATTTGTGGGTGCATCACAGTGGAAAAATACTTCTCACAGCATTCCCACCGTACTAGGGGACACGCATGCGTGGGTGATCTACAAGAGACGGTTCTCCAGAGAAAGCAATTTCCCTCTGACACGCTGGGTTTTTATTACTTTTCCTTTGTAAACACAGCACTGACCCCTCCAGAGGAACAGCAACTCAGGCCCGCAAAATGCAACAAAACTGCTAGAGGTCCCTAAACGGAGTTAGACCCCAGCTTGCATACAGAGGGTCAAACCAAGGGGCCTGTTTGAACAGGACTGTTTCTGAGGAGAAAACTGGTTCCATCAAGTGGTTCCTTGGGATGAACTTTCAGTTTGCATTTTCCTCCATGGTTTACACGTGGAGGGAGGGTTTTATGATTTCAGTTTTACAACGCATCTGCTCTTCCTAAATACTTCTTTCCATTTTGGAGGCTTATGGATCAGATGATTGACAACCATTATTGTCATGATCATCACAGAAAAATAATGTAGAAGAACTTAAAAACTATGTTAAAATAGCCCGATATGTGGAAATGACAACATCGTTCCTCATTACCACATTCTCTATCACTTTTACCATCAGATTGAATTGGTTAAATCCAGTCTTTGACACTAAAGGCAATAAAAAGCAACAGTCACTGGTTTTTAGCATGGTCTCTACCTACAGCAAACTTCAGTTTGGAACATGATTTTAAGACGTACAATTTAGTTTAATTTTTTAAATCTTTTAAAATATACTTTTTAAAGTTTATTTTGGGGGGGGAGGGGCAGAGAGAGGAAGAGACAGGGGATCCTAAGCAGGCTCTGTGTTGTCAACGCAGAGCCTCTCACGGGGCTCGAACTCAGGAAACGTGAGATCATGACCTGACCGAAACCAGGAGTCCCACGCTTAACTGACTGAGCCACCCAGGTGCCCCCATGATTTAATATTTTACATACCATTCTGCATTTTCTGATTCTAACTCAGGTTTTAGGCTTTATCTCTTCATCCATTTTTTTTTTTTTAATTTGGGAGTCTCATAATATTAGTAGTTTTTTTTAATATTAAAATGCAATCGTTCAAACATGCTTGCTTAACACAGACCAGAGGTGTGTGAGAAACATTGTCATCTGAAATGATCAAGAGTTAGAGCTAGGGGTAAAACAAATAGGCATCAAAGAGTGGAATGTGTTTTTTTTTGTTGTTGTTGTTGTTTTTGTTTTTTCCAGGAACTTAACGACTTGGGAGGAATGGTTGAAATGGGTAGGGAGGCTCTATTTTTGCCCCTCTTGCTTGTTACTTTCGCGAAGGGATTGCGTGGGATTTCGTGAAGCTAACGCTTACTCCTCTGCTGGCAGGTGGACACCACTCTGTCTCAGTTTACCGACCCGAACGTTTACCTGTGGGACGTCCACCACAGTAAGAGGCTAATTAAGGTGGACGGGGTTGTGACCAAGAAGCGGAAGTCCTACTGCGTGGACTTCGCTGCCATCCGGCCCCAGATAGCCTTACTCCAGGAGATGCACGTTTCCCATTTTCACTTCTCCCTGGACTGGGCCCTGATCCTGCCGCTGGGCAACCAGTCCCAGGTGAACCACACGGTCCTCGACTACTACCGCTGCGTGGTCAGCGAGCTCGTGCGCGCCAACATCACCCCGGTGGTGGCGCTCTGGCGACCCGCGGCCCCGCACCAAGGGCTGCCGCGGCCCCTGGCCAAGCACGGAGCCTGGGAGAACCCCCACACCGCCTCGGCTTTTGCAGAGTACGCCCGGCTGTGCTTCAAGGATCTCGGCCACCACGTCAAGTTCTGGATCACGATGGGCGAGCCGTACACACGGAACATGACCTACAGCGCGGGGCACAATCTTCTGAAGGCTCACGCGTTGGCCTGGCGCGTGTACGATGAAAACTTTCGGGGCTCTCAGAAGGGGAAAATATCCATAGCCCTGCAGGCCGACTGGATAGAGCCGGCCTGCCCTTTCTCCCAAAAGGACAAAGAAGTGGCAGAGAGAGTTTTGGAATTTGACATTGGCTGGCTGGCCGAGCCCATTTTCGGCTCTGGGGATTATCCGCGTGTGATGAGGGACTGGCTCACGCAGAGAAACAATTTCCTTCTACCTTATTTCACTGAAGATGAAAAAAAGCTAATCCGGGGTTCTTTCGACTTCCTGGCCGTAAGCCATTACACCACCATCCTCGTCGACTGGGAAAAAGAAGATCCAATGAAATACAACGATTACCTGGAGGTGCAGGAAATGACCGACATCACGTGGCTCAACTCCCCCAGTCAGGTGGCAGTAGTGCCCTGGGGCTTACGCAAAATTCTCAACTGGCTGAAGTTGAAGTACGGAGACCTCCCCATGTATATAATATCCAACGGCATAGACGATGATCCGCAGGCAGCGCAAGACAAGCTGAGGGTGTATTACATGCAAAATTATGTAAATGAAGCTCTGAAAGGTAAGGAGCCCCGGAAACAGCAGCCCCTCGAAGCGTATGTCACGCGAGGGCGTGGTACTCCATAGGCACCCTCAAACGAATACACCCACTGTCACCTGGGAAGCAAAGTGCTTGCTATCCATTCCTTGCCACACTGAAAAAGTCCAAGAGAGAGTTAGTATTTTCCCCTCAGGATAATGGAGTTTAGCTAAAAGTCGAAGACCCTAGCGGGGGGGATGCCTAGCACCTGCTGGGGCCTATAAAAGCATGGACTTTCTTGTCCCCCATTTCAGACGGCTTCACAGCAGTCTTACCTCCTTCATTGTGCATGAAGATTTAACCCAAGTACATCAGAGTAGGTTTAATTATGTAAAACCTTCTACGTTAACTGTAGCTCAATGTTTGTCCTCGCATGAAGGAAGCCTGTTGTGATCAAACCTAATTTAGATTTATTAAATAGTATTGAAATTTTCTCTGATGCACCAAGGCTGTGTAAAAGTGAAGTGCTGCGTGCAAAAAATTTTAATAACTATTCTGTCCTTTTGTTTTTCTAGCCTACATATTGGATGGTGTCAATCTTTGTGGATACTTTGCTTATTCATTCAATGATCGCACAGCTCCAAAGTTTGGCTTCTATCATTATGCTGCAAATCAGTTTGAGCCCAAACCGTCCATGAAACATTATCGGAAAATGATTGACAGCAATGGTTTCTCGGGTCCTGAAACTCTGGGGAGATTTTGTCCAGAAGAATTCACCCTGTGCACCGAATGCGGCTTTTTTCATACCCGCAAATCTTTAGTGGCTTTCATAGCTTTCCTACTTTTTGCCTTTATTATTTCTCTTTCTCTGATTTTTTACTACTCTAAGAAAGGCAAAAGAAGTTACAAGTAGTCCTGACCTTTTTCCTATTCATTTACTTTGAAATGATTATGCGCACACATCAGCTGTTCACCATTTGCACGTCTCAGTGTCGTAAGACTGGATTTCACTTATCTGACTTCTAGAAAAAAAAATGTGTGGCGTATGACAGAGGTATGGAAGTGAGCATAGGTGATTGTAAAATACTGAATAATGTGAATAGTGCCTGGATTTGTTCTTTCTTGGAGGATGACCAAAGACGGTTAGGGGCCATCATCTCTGCAACACATTCTGTAACAAATGTATGGGAAGTGGGACCCATTCTGGAACATTTTTGTAGAAATTGAATAGCAAGATCAGTGCCCGTTCCTAAATTATCTTGAAGTAAAACAAATGTGGAAATAAAAAGTTAAGTCCCAAATAACCATCTCTAAACTTCCGTGATATGCCTAATGGTCTCTGTTGGACCCAGTTTCCCTTGAAAAAGAAATGGTAGAATATTAGAGACATGACAGAGGGCCCTACGCTAGAACGTTCCTTTTAAAAGCAGTGTTTCTATCAAATGCTGCTAATATTAATTTACATATCTGGTTAATGATGTACTTAGCAGAGCAAATTGTAGAATTTTATTTTATGTGACTTTCAAGGCACTTTTCAGGCCCTGGGGTCCTTGAGGGCTTTGTGTCACTGGGGCCTTGTCAAGGGTCTGTACATAGAGGGCTTTAAATGTTTGCAGAAAAATAAATATGAATCATGAGATGTTGGACTCTTCAGGAAGCATAAACCGATCGTGCAATGCATTATACTGCGTGGAGAGGAGGAAAGGAGGAAAAAGTGCATATTATGAGCAACAGTATGATTAATTTGATTAGAAACCCTTTGATTTTAGAGCACTCCTTTCAATGAATGATGTGACCTTTCCTGAGTGAATAAGAACGAAATAATCACTCATCCTATGAAGAGTGACTTCACTTGCTGTTCTTTAGAAAGTGCCCTGATTTCTTTGAATCGAGTTTTTAAAAATTCTTACTAGGTTCGCATTTGGTCTGATAACACTGGAAGATTTATTTCTGTGATCGCTGAGGTTTATTTTCTATTTTTGCTGCACCTTCTGTGGAACTAGCTTTGAAGTAGTTTTGCTTTGAACTTTCACACTGAAACATGCTACTGATTTCTAGAAAGGGCTAATGAGGTCTTATCTTTTAATGACCCTTAAACAAGTTTTGCTGATTTTCAGACAGGGGTCTTTCTATGACACTGGAGTTGTGGACGATCATAATGTTTGTTTTATAGATAAGCCAGTATCGTATCAGGCAAGGTAAACCACTATCGTATCAGGCATAACTAATCTTGCCGACACAGGGTTATAGTGTATAATAAAATGTTGTACTGTATTATGTATCATCTTTAAAGGTGGTGTGATTTTTTTTCCATGAAAGGTAAGCTTTTGTTGGTATTCTTTTAAAAATTGGACTTATTATTAAAATTAGAAACTAGAGAACAATAGTTTCTCTTATGTATATATATTTTTCTGATTATAAGAGTAATATATATTCATTGTAAAAAAATTTTAAAAACACAGAAACTATACGTAAAGAGAAAAAATTACCTGTCATCGCACCCAGGTAGTCACTATTACCGTAGCCTGTGTATTTTATTTTACATAATTAGAGTCAGATCATATTGTAAATAGTTGTGTATCTTTATTAATTTTTATTGTGTGTTAACTTTGTCATTAGTCTTCAAAAACATGATTTCTAATAGTTGTAGAGTAATTCCACTATACAAATTTATCACAAGTTATTTAACCATTCCTATCAGTTGAACTAGTTTCTTATTGTAAATTACTGTTAAATAATGTTGTTTAAAAGTTTTCTTGCTACCATATTAATTTTCATTCCCTTGAGTGTAGACAGAAGCAATTCTGTCCCTTGATGAAGTATTGTAATAAATCTGCCTGCAACTTTACTGCTTTCATAATCATTTGACTGGCTGCTGGATGAATTTCTTTAAAAAACAGTTTTTTGAGTTGACTGAACTACATAGGCTATGAGCAGTGAAGAAACGGGTGGACAGCCAGGGTGGAAGGTGTTAGGGGGTGGAGGCTGCCTCGTGCTCATCCCTGTGGTTGAGCGGAGACTTTCAGACAGAGAAAGCAAAATAGAGGAAGAGCCGAAAGAGACCAGACATGCCAAAGCCTCAAGGAGAAATGACATCTCAAAACCATCCATAGTGAGAGCAGCGTATTAACACTGAGTCCTCACTGACCTTAGGAGGAGGTCAGTGGCTCCCTACAGCGGGAAAGGAGCGAGGGTCCGACCAGACCGCGGGAGGGGTGAAGGGTAGGGAGGAGGGAGGAGGGAGGAGGGGGAGGGGGCGGGGCCAGGGGCGGGACTTCCTGTCCACCGCCCTCCTTCCGCATCAGTTCTAATATTTTACTCACTAGTGCTGGGTGCTTCAACACTTTGCATATTTTTTTGAAGGTAGAGACTCTTCCTCTGGAACTCCTACACCTCTCATTAGGTTGTGGGGCCAACTCTGCAAGGGCATTAGGTGGTACTGTGGTTTTCTGAGGCCTTTGGGCTAATTTCTGCCACACTTGTATTTGCTCTGCCTTCGCAGTTCCTTTCTTGGACCCCGGTGAACCCCTTGCACTTATGCCCAGTTCCTTTTGCCTGGGTTTGCGTGGACGGTTTTTCAGATTCAATACGGACGCTTTTCATTTTATTTTCATCTTCCACAGACAAGAATTAGAATCTATTAATGCCTTGGAAGCTTTTCCTTTATACTGTTTATACCAAATGCGGTCCAATACAGAGATAATGCAAGCTGCATATTTTAAATTTTCTAGTAGTCACATTAAAAAATTAAAAATGTGGAAAAAATAAAGATTAATGGTATACATTATGTTTCCAACATCATCAAAATATTAACTTCAACAGATAATCAATATAAAAATGATTAAGATTTTTACATACTTTTTTTTTTTTACTAAGTCTTAGAAATCTGGTGTGTGTTTTACAAGTATGACACATCCCGTGCTCAATTTGGATTAGCCAGACTGTAAGTGCTCAATAGCCACGTGTGGCCTAATGGCCACTCCACTGGACAGTGCAGGTCTGTAAAGAAAGCCTTGCTCTGCCAAGTCAATTACTAGCATAATTAAGATACCCCAAATATTTAACAAACTAGAAGAATAAACTCTTCAAGAGTCTTCCAGCTCTACAGTCCATGGAAATAAATTGGCAAGTAAGTTTACAATTAAGCTAAACTATTGATTAAGACAAATATTTTTAAACATCTTCAGGGAAGGGAGAATTCTGTAACTAGTTCTGAATCTCGCAGTATTTCAGGTGGTGGAATTCAACTGCTCTTGTTTCTACATAAATCTACAATTCCATTTTTTCTCTCATTCAAATTGCCTTTTTCCAACTGAATAGAGCAGTTATATTGTCTTGTAGCATCTCCATTGAATATTTAATATTGAGCAATGCTGCTCAAAATTTCTGTCTGGGAAAGAGAATGTTAATTTAGATGACATGGACCAACCTTCATAGACAGCCTTGGTTCTAGAGGGAAATCAGAGGCCGTGTCTTCTTGTTTTGTTTTGATTTTTAGTATTTAGCCCGGAGCCTCCTATAAAATATTGTTCAGTAAATGTTGATTAGTTGAATAAATGTATGAATGAATGATGGAATACAGGAATTAACAGAATTAGCTCCCTGACATCACCTTTGTCCAGAGACACATTTAATAAAGACTGTCAAGAATCCAAAATTGCCATGTGTTAGATGCCACACAGCATCAGTTCTGTGTATCCAGAGGAAGGAACACACGTTTCCATGTGATAACCTTTGATAGCCTTTCTAGGTAACAAGGCAGTAACATGGCTTTCCTAAGTCATCACCCCTAGACCAATCACAGAGTGAGAGGATTATAACTTGTTTTCTTTCTTATTCACATTGTCCCTTAGCCAATCAGTATTCTATTTGCAAGTACTGTTATAGGTTAAGTTCTTTATATGCAAATAAGTACCAGGGAACTCCTCTTCTAGCAGGAACTCCTTTATGTCATCTTGAAATACAATTTCTAAGAATATGTTGCTTTTTTCTCAGATCTGTTATATTTTTCCATTTGTATAACCATTAAGTATTGTTAGAGTTTTGTTTGTGGCAGTGCATTTCCTGGGACATTTTTGTTTCATACATTTGTGGTAAATACCCGTTGTTTGATATCAAGGAGAAAGAGGTCAAGAAAAACCACAAGGAACCTTGAGTAAATGGTGGAAATACTCTACTGCCTGTGATAGGATGCCTACAAATGAAATTTATTTTGTGATGTAATTGCTACATACCAGAAAAGGCTTGGTGACTGATATTCCAGCCTCAGTTTGAGAAATAGATTAGAGAAGAAAACAGATTAGAGAAGGAAAAAATTTCAACCTACCTATTAATCGAGGCAGAAGGGCAGACAGAAAAGTGTCAGTAGACCTACTTCCAAATGTCACTGAGCCTCAATTTCTTCATCTTTGAAATGGGAATAATGTCTATAATAGCAAAGTGCTGAGCATACTAACTAATTCAATAAATAAACCACCTCCACCAGACATGTTTTTCTGGATTGATTCCACTTATTTTTAATGTGCGTATGATTTTTTGTTAATCAGATATTCAGAGCTCAGTAAGTAAGACCCTAAGTAAGACCAGGGACTGTTACAGTTAATACAGTTCACCCTGAAGTCCCTTCGTTATTTCATTTGTGACTTTGAATAGACATCGTCCTAGGATGCCCATGGGTGAAACCAGACTAAAAATACGAATCCCCACAGTTACTTAATAATACCAGATTACTTTCTTGGCTGTGAATTTTACGAATGTTGAATTGATAGAATCCTGAACATAATTTGGCAGAAGATGCTTCTATATCAGTGTGCTCCGCCATCTGCTCTTTGGAAACAATCTAATGACACAGACGAAACACGGAAATTTGTATATTGTTATTGAATAATTGAAGACCCATTAACTAAATTTTTATGTGATTCAAAAATCCTTGGTAGAGTTTCTAATTTTGCTTATAATCTTTCCATATGCTTATTTTATGGTAAAAACGAATTAACTTTTAATGAGCTTATTTATTTTTTCTAAATTATTTGCAATGGAAACATTGCTCCTTAATAAATTACTAGAATATGCTGATTTCCTTTTTTCTGTTTAAAATCTCAATTGATTAGCTTATACATTTTGGGTTCCTTTCACTATTATAGTAGTTATTGTCTAATGATGACCTTAAGCATAAACATTGCTTAAGACACTTCAACCTGTTTTGATCTCCAGCTGCATGCGAATCAAAGCTTTGGCTAATTTAGTTCCAGGTTATCAGACTACAAGTTTTATAGTGTTTCAAGGCCGTGTCATTTAAGACATGAAGGTTTTCTCACTCCCCCCCCCCCCCGCCCCGCTTTAAATTATGGGTATTATGAGTCTCCAGTAAGTAGCCCAAAGGCTTCAAAATGTAGCATTATCAACAGACAGGGGCAGGAGTGGTAAGCGTAAGCCACAGAGCAGCAAAACAGATACACTTTGAAAAAGATTGACGGGTCAGGTGAAAATATTCCATTAGTAAAAGATAACAGATGAGACATGAACATGATTTTATTTCAAACTGTACCATTCTTTTTTTTTTTTTTAATTTTTTTTTCAACGTTTTTAATTTATTTTTGGGACAGAGAGAGACAGAGCATGAACAGGGGAGGGGCAGAGAGAGAGGGAGATACAGAATCGGAAACAGGCTCCAGGCTCCGAGCCATCAGCCCAGAGCCTGACGCGGGGCTCAAACTCACGGACCGCGAGATCGTGACCTGGCTGAAGTCGGACGCTTAACCGACTGCGCCACCCAGGCGCCCCTCAAACTGTACCATACTAAAATATCCTGATTCTATCTGTGCCTTCTCCTGGACCTAATAACCCACCAAAACCAACACAGTGGGGATTACTCGTCCATCAGACTGACAATACCAGAGCTGCGAAATTCTGGCAGTATTCACCTTGAGAGGAAGGAAGGAGACAAAGGAAGCCAGAAAGCATGGCAAGGGCCTGCAGGACTGGGGAGAGCCCATGAAAGAAACATTGGAAACAATGACAGAATTTTTCCATTAGGGAACATTAAAGTGGGCTAAGGTTGGATATTTCCCTTCTATCAGGTCAGCTGGGCATTGATAATAACACGCAAGAAGGTTAGGCCCCGGTTAGCTAGTTTTTCATGAAGGTAGGACGTGTTAACAACAGAGTGCTCTCAGGCGCCTGTCCATAAAGCATGACACTCTTGTTCTCTGGGTCGTGAGTTTTATTTTAATTTTTTAAAAATGTTTATTTATTTTTGAGAGAGAGAGACAGAGTGCAAGTGGGGGAAGGGGCAGAGAGACAGAGGGAGACACAGAATCCAAAGCAGGCTCCAGGCTCTGAGCTGTCAGCACAGAGCCCAACGTGGGGCTCAAACCCACAAACTGTGAAATCAGGACCTGAGCCGAAGTCAGACGCTTAACCAGCTGAGCCACCCAGGCGCCCCCCCCACCCCCCGCCGGGGTTGTGAGTTTGATAGTAGAATTTACATCAAACAAACAAATAAAGTGCTCTGGCATATTCCAAAATCGTTCCTTCTTCTCTCCCCTTATCAGAAACAATCTCATACTATAACATAAGAACTTGATAGAGCTCCTGGAGAAAATCTAACCAACTGTGCACCTCCCCCCACTGCCATGACTGGGTCTCCTTAGAGTTTTTTATTCTTCAAGTTGTCCACACTGAGCCTCCGACAATTCGTGAATTCCTACCCTAGCACTGGTTCTTGAGGTGGTTCCCACCCGTGAGTCTCTGCTTGGGTACGCCATGACTCCCTATATTTGTCTGTCTCTCTATTTTGGGGGCAGCGATTTGCTGTGCGTCTTCTCCTCTCTGACAGATCCAAGAAGAGTTGCTGATTTTTCAGTCTGTTCAGCTTTTTGCTTGTTGTCAAGATGAAGAGGTGACTTCCCTCCCATCCCGTCTACAGAGATAGAGAAAAAAAGGAAAGGAAATGCTGCCATGTTTATAAAGCAGACTGGGGGCGGGGTGGGGGAGGTTATCATCAACATGATTGTGATGCGGTTGTAAAACACAGTCTCTGTCATCTCAATGGTCTCTCCAGCCTTGGTCAGGAAGGCACAAATACATAAAGAACACCAAGGATCATCACTGGTCATATTATGGACATGTGTGAACGGGTGGATCTGGAATTCTCCAACCTCATCCTAAAAGTCTGGATGACATCATCATCACCACTGTGACTTTGTCAGAGGCAGGTGAAGGCACTACCTGTGTGATGCCTTCGTGAATGGCACGGCTATTTTTGAAAGCCTTTATGAATATTGTGCTAACACAGGAATTTATATTTTTATTCACAATATTTTAGACTACAAATGACAAGTGTTTTATTTCTGGCTACAGTTACACAAGAACAATCTTACAAAAAAGAAAACAATTTGGCAAGCAGTGAGTGTTGCAGTGCACTCACCATGGATGTTTCTTGTTGGGTATCTCTCTAGCCTTCAACCAGATATGTCTGAAGAAGAATATTCATTTTGTCTCCCTTCAAACTAGCTCTTCTTTCTGTTTCCTTCATTTCCCCCAGTCTTCCCTGGGGGGACACTTAGCATGAAATTCTATGGATTCTTTTCGCTCTGATGTTTCTAGCATCCACCTGGCATTTGTCTGCTGCTGAAGTTGTCCTCTTTGAACTGTTTGCTTAGGCTTCTCCCAGACCCCCTCAATGGTTTTCTGGCTTGTGTCCATTCTGCACGTCAAACGCCATTTTGATTCAGTTCATTTCTCTCTTCAAGTACCTACAGAGGGTGTCCTTGTTCCTCACCATCACCTGGCATTTGCTCTAAATCTCCCTCTGCGTGTCCTCTGACCTGGTCATCCACAACCTGGCTGAACATTAGGATCAGCACCTACTACCGTCTACTACCAGGATTTGATTGTCTAATCTCTGCCATCGGATTATAAAGTGCTCTGAGGCAGGTACCTTATTTGTCTTGTTATTCTCTGGAATGAATATTAATTAGCGAATAAATATTTCTTATATGAATAAATGCTTGATGAGAAAGGGCTAGAAACTTATTACAGGTGGTTCTTTAAAAAGAGTTAACTGTTTGTTTGTTTTCCAGTTACCGAGGCTTAGTTGACCTTTATTACCTGGAGTTTTGCCAATCAGACTTCTCGAGTCAACAACATTTGTGATGATAATTGGTGTTCATAGTGATTGCCCTGGGGCTGGACAAAATCTTGAACTGCCTTCTCAGTCATTTAAGAGAAGATCATATTAAGATGTTTATTTCTAGTTAACAGGTTCATTACATGTATCATCATGGATTATCCATTTTAAAAGAATTAAAATACAATAAAAAATTATGATAATATCACACTGAACATTAATTTTCCTTTGACGATCAGTTCATTCAACAAATAACTAGCACACACTTAATATGTGCAAGTTAATAGAGTTATTACCCAGGAATATTCTACTCCAGTCATATTTATGTATATCTGAAATGCCTTGTGCATCGATTGTGCCCGTAATTGGCATACCCTGTGATAGTTCATCAAGTTTTGCCAATAGACGTTTAGCAAAATACGGCTCTTTAAAATAGTGTATTTTGTAGAGCAATTACTGAAAAGTTGCCTATGACGCAACGTTCTATAAATCAAATCCAGCTCTGTGATGTATCTTCAAGGTACCTTCGAGTAGGTTGGCTGCCTGTCTAATCTCACTGGTAACTTCGGCCTCGCGGTGGTGTCAGTAGCTCCTCTCCCCCGGTCTGCACCGCCCAGGAGAGATGTAACACTAGGTAAGCAGATTCTAACTGGATGCTTTGAGCAGCGGTTCTCAAACCTGGTGGCACACTGGGATCACCTAGGGAGTTTTAAAAACCACTGATGCCTGGTTCCGTTTGCAGGGATTCTGACTTGGCTGGTGTGGCATGTGGCCCTGTGTGCCTCTTTCCTGGCTCTAGTGCACATTGGATGGGCTCGCCACCTCCCCCAGGCGACCCTGGCCCTGCGGTCCAGGAGCACCTTCTCCTTCAGCTAGGAGCTCAGGTGAGGCCGTGGCTTTCTGCTGCTGCTGCTCCCTGCGTCTCCTCTGTCCCTGCTGGCTTCTCGGCCCTTCCATCACATCTGTAACCGACTCTGTGGATTCCATTCTCCCTTTTGTAAAATCTCAAAGGCGTTCCTCTTTTCCTTGTTCTGGTTCTCAGAACTTGGAACGTGACTGAGGCAGCTGGCAGTGAAGACAGTGAAAACCGCGAAATAAGCACAAGATGAGACACCCTTGGACAGCCAACCTTAGTCCTGCCTGGGGGGCAGAAGCCCAGGCAAGAGGGGACGGGGGAGTGGGAAGGACACAAATTTGGTGACCATTTCCAGACCATTCTTTTAGGAGCACACTTTGCAGATATTTTATAACACAAGTCTCATGGGAGAATTTCATGAAATGTTCTAATTTCATCATTTTCTGATGATTTAATTTCCTTGTCATAGGTCACACTTTTATTTTGTAAAGTCTATAGGGAAGAAATTAATTTTTTATGTGATGCCTATCTCCTGGTATGTAGGGTTGACTACTCATAATCTCTTAGTCCATATTAGTGTGGTGGAAGAAACGTAAATGTGAGTTTCTTTTTATGTTTGCAATTCCTTTTTACCAAACCCTGCTTTTGGCTTATGCTTCAGATTCATGACCAACCATAAGGTAGGTTTGGAAAGTCTCATCCCAGTTAAAAAAAAAAATCAACCTCAACAACTCCCTGTTCTTTGTCTTGTGCAAGCAGGAGTGCTCTGTTCTGTATTACCTGTGTAGTCCTTTGGAGTTCTGTTGCCGGAGGAAGTTCAAGGCTGATCACATGCAGACCCATAGCCTTTTCTTCACACACGCATACACACACACACACACACACACACTCACACATAACTGCTACACCTCCAGCTAAGCTTACAGCAGCCTTCATCCAACTGTACTCTCTGAAATGGCCTTACTGAACGGGACTCTTTTTCTGCTCCTTTGTAGACTCCTTCAGAAAGCGGTTGTGAACTACATTTTACACAAAAAAATTGTCAGTCAAAGCCAGCGTTTTTGTTTTCTTAGGAACAGCACTGCTATAAGCAGAGAGATTGAACCCCGTTTACCTAGAAGTGAATATTAATAATAAGCATTTGTTAAGCCCCATCTTAAAAGGTGTGGTACTATCACCATTTTACAGATGAGACAATTGAGGCTTACAGAGGTTAATACCATGCTAAATTTGAGGCTTACAGAGCAGGGGAGTGGAGGTAAGAGTGGGATCCAAGCAGTCAGGACTGCTCCAGACCTTGTACTCCGAATTTATGTCCATCACGTTTTAAATGGCTGGATGAATGCAAAGCTTCTCTAAGCCTGAGCTAATCAGTCTTGGGAAAATTGGAGGCTCAGAAAGACCCAGCAACTAATATAAGTCATTAGTGACTATTTAAGGTTAGGTTCACATTGCTTTCCTAGGAAAGGTAGCCAACTGATTTACAAGGAGGAGAGAGACAATCGCTGGCTAAGAGAGCTGCACAAGGCCTCTAGAAGGAGAGACTGTAAATGGCAGATTTATAAGACAAATTACGAGATTGGCAATAAAAAGTGCATTAACCACTCCAGTCCAAACGACTAGTGGGTGGAAAACCAGGAATTATGGTTGCTACGAGGCAGAGCCCACAGTTACAAAGGGCCCAGGTTGAGGACTCTGTGCTTGGGTTTATGTTCTTCTATGACTGTCTGGAAATTCTTCATCCACGTCTATCTCTGAATTTGTGTTTTGTGATGATGCTGTTTTGTGATGATCCAATGCAATATGCACATGGATGATGCACCAGGTAGCAGCCCGCGTGCGGATGGCAGTGGTCCAGCACAGTCCACGGGCACACAGCAGTTGGCCCAGACCTTCCGTGCACGCCTCAGGCAGTTCAGCCTTCCCAGGGGTGTGGCCAGGACAGAATCTGGGTCCATCAGTGGTGGGAACGGTGGCAGCAGGAGTGGCAACCACAGATCTGCAAGTTCAAGGAAATGTCAGAGGAAACGTTGAAATAGCATCGTATAAATTCGCATGTAATGTTCCACTTACATGAAACCCATTTGTACAGAGAGATAAATCTTTTAGAAGAAGTTATTCTGTGATAGTCCTCAGTTCCAGATGTAATAAAATGTATATTTTGATATAATTTATCAGAAATTTATCTGCATATAATATCTCCAATAATCCCAACAATGTTGTCACAGCATGTAAAATAGCTCCAGTAACAGATGCATATGCAGAAAGTCTTCTCAAAATTAAAAATGATAGAAAATATTTTTGTAATCTTGCAAGAGGGACTAATTTTGTTTTATGTATTTTTAAAAATTTTTTAACGTTTATTTATTATTGAGAGAGAGACAGAGAGAGCATGAGCATGGGAGGGGCAGAGAGAGGAGAAGACCCAGAATCTGAAGGAGGCTCCAGGCTCTGAGCTGTTAGCACAGAGCCTGATGCAGGGCTCAAACCCACAAACCCAGCGAGATCATGACCTGAGCTGAAGTGAGACGCTTAACCAACTGAGCCACCCAGGCGCCCCGGGACTAATATTGTTTTAAGTCAATAGCTATTTAAAATAAAGTTGTGGGGCTCCTCGGGGGCTCAGTCGGTTGAGCATCCGACTTCTGTTCAGGTTATGATCTCCTGGTTCGTGGGTTCCAGCCCCGTGTCTGTGCTGACAGTTTGGAGCCTGGAGCCTGCTTTGTTCTGTCTCCCTCTCTCTCTGTTCCTCCCCTGCTCATGCTTTGTCTCTCTCCTTGAAAAATAAATAAACATTAAAAAAACAACAACAAAAAATAAAGTTGCTAGAAGTATGGATTTTGATGTTCCAATAAATTAGCCAAAAAGTCAGAAAAATCATACGATTGATGGAGGTATCACTTTAACAAAGCATAATCATAATGACATGATATAAAATGATGACACCAAAATATCATTCTGCAAATTTGCAAGTTTGTGTTGTTACTCGTGCACCGCTATTACTCCTGTTACTCTTTTGTAGGTAACACAAAACTTTTGAAGGAGAGCTTTTTATGTTTTAGTACCTTCAGTAGCACTTTCCCTGCTCTTTCAACGGGAGCTTTCATTTTCATTTTGCACGGGGTCCTTTACGTTAGGTATCTGGCCCTGCTCCCAGCAGAAGGAGATGATACTGTAGAAGAGACAAAGGGGATGAGGTTCCTTACCAAGCGTCCAAGTTTCATTTTTATCCTGATGAAATCTATAGCTCCAAGCAGAGGGAGTGGCCAGCTCAGGGCTGGGGTTGAGTGAGTGCTGAGTCAGGTGCTACCTTATGGCGTCTGGCCAGGGCGAGTCTCGCTTTGGAGGCGGCGTGCTTTCTCTGGTTGCCAAAGTAGCACATTAGGTGCTGGATGGCATTCCAGGCAGAGACAATCCGAGAAGAAGGGATTGTTTCTTTCCTTAGTCACTCCTCTAGTACAAAGTACTGTATGTTTTATGTCTATTTTTATTCTCATCTTCTTTTCCTTCTCCCCAGAATTAGCGCTGCTTCCAGGGGGAGAGGGAGATGGCAGAGCGGTCTGGTGTCTGTTGTGCTGGGCTGACGAGCTGGATGTGGGCCTGGCTTTGCCCCTTGTTGAGACCTTTAGAAGCTACTCAAGTCTTTACTTCTTCATTGGTGAAGGGTGCAGTGACAGCTGATGCATATTAGTGACACTGCTTTGACTCGTTGCTTTTGTGTCATCAGAGCAAATGTCAACAGCGGGAGAAAGGCAAAAACACGGTAGGATTATTACAACAGTGCTTGGTCATGAACGTGCCCCGGACGGGTCTTGGGGACCTGCAGGGTTCTGTGGACCACACTTTGAGAACCACTGTTCTGTGGCATCGTTTGAAGATGACAGAAGCCCCAGTGTTCAGAGGAGACCCAGGAGCCCGAGAGAGGAAAACCCAGCAGAACACACAGGACAAGCCCCTACATGAAAGATTAAAGTTTGAACCAAAACGCAGAAGTATGTCAACATAGTCAATTATGCTTTGTAAAGACTTTCTGCATGCTTTTTGAACTAAAACTGCTAGCAAATGAATTGGAGGGCAGTAGTGTTAGTGAGACTGTTAGTGACCTGGAAATTCACCTGGAAGTACTATCTTAAAACACAGAGCAAATGAACGAGGACAAGATAATCAGGAGAAAAAAACTGGATTGTTGGCAGCTGTATCTGGAAGAGTTAATGTGAGTAAAAGAAGATTTAGAGAAGAGAAAAGGAGCAGATGGAGAAGAGGCAATAATTAAACTAATGGAAGAAGAAAATGTCCTCAAGATTAAGAAAGACCTGAATGTGCAAACTGAAACTATTCACAGAGTTCCAAGCAGAAGGAATGAGACAAAAATGTCCCCAAAGCTAGTCTGGAAAATTCTTAAACTCCAAGAATGGAGAGAAACCATTACCAACTTCTAGACAGAAATAACTGATTGCTTAAAGAATCAATGCCATTCGATGTTTCATATGCAACACCTTAATTTTTTTTTTTCTAATGTTCATTTACTTTTCAGAGAGAGAGAGAGAGAGAGAGAGAGAGAGACAGAGTGTGAACAGGGGAGGGGCAGAGAGACAGGGAGACACAGAATCCGAAGCAGGCTCCAGGCTCTGAGCTGTCAGCACAGAGCCCAATATGGGGCTTGAACCCACGAACCACAAGATCATGACCTGAGCTGAAGTCGGATACTTAACCGACTGAGCCACCCAGGCGCCTCTCAAATGCAACACCTTAAGCATAAGATGGCGGGTATGTGGCCACTGAGAGAAATGAATTGCCACGAAGACCCTTTCTTCTCTGAGCGTGTCAGTCACCTTTCAGGATGGAGGTAAAAGCAAGTGTGCTGTGATCCAGACAGCGTATCAGTTGTGCACCTGGGACTCTGGAAGAAACTCCTAGGGGAGGATAGAGCAGGCAGACCTCCACCCACTGCCTGTACCACCACCGAAGGAACCAGAGCACGGGGAGGAAGAGAAGCAGCGGTGAGCAATGTGTGCCCAGTGGAACCCAGATGGACAGCAAGAGACCAGGATTGAATACTAGCAACCCCAGATAAGAATTCTTAAAATAGAAAGGAACTATGCAAGGGTAATTCTAAGAATAATCTGGAACTAAAAGTGCTGAACTATTTAAGGGAAATCTAAGAGCTAGGGGTGAAGGAGGAGAAAAGCAATGAAGCAAAGCATTATGAAGATTTAATCTTGGTCTGGATAAGGGCAGAGTTGAGAATAGGAATGAAAATATTCTTAGGAGACTGATCTCATTAGTACAGGTGGTCTTGGCGAAGGAATAAATTATATCTTTTGTGTTTTTTTAAAGAAAATTACAGAAATATGTGTTTTGTTATGAGCCCCGAGAGAGAGGAAGCAAACATTTATGGAATAGAAACTTCCAGCAGAACAACAGTATTCACAAAATGAAAAAGACAATGAAAGGAAATTTATGAAAACCAGCAAAAAATAGCAAAAGGAAAAGGAGACAGCAAAGTAAAGCAAGCTGAATACAAAGTAAGCGTAAAGTGAAAGGAATAAAATAAAGCACAAAAAGCACCATGAGGTCAAAAAAGGAAAAAGAGAGAAGTCTGAGAAACACTCACAGCAGGAGAAGCCTGAGGAACATGACAATTACATGAAATGTGGTATCCTGGCCAGAGAACAGACATTTGATAAAAAAAAACTAAGAGAATCTGGTTTGGTTTTTAGCTTAGTGGGAGAGAAAGACATTACTATTTATGCAAACAACTATGCAATTACAAATAAGAAAAGTGCAAAGGACAAAAGGACTGTGAGACTCTTACCCCAACTTAGTTGAGGGTATGAGGGAGGACTTCCTGGGGGAAGTGACTGAAGCTGAGACCTAAGTGTAGATAGGAGTTCCCTAGCCACTGGGGACAGGTGTGATGAACACTACTGCAGAAAAGTTTGGAGGTGGGCAGAGGGAGAGAGGTGGAAAGTGGACCTATTTATCCTAAGCCTATAGCTAGTGTCTACTTTAAGGGGCAGTCACAATTTTTCTATTTATTAAATATGAACCTATTTATTTACTGACTCCTGAAGAACATGCAGGGTTTTTTTTTTTTTAACATCCATGCATTACAAAAATAGTTGGTCATGTACTTGACCACACAGAAAACCTTTATCTCAAAAAGGTGATTCAGAAACCTAAAAAACACCGATGATCTCCTAGGAAAACATAAATTATTAAAATGGAAGTAGAAGTACAAACCTTGAATTAGACCAAGCACCATAGAAGAGATGATAAAGGTGATTAAAAATGCATTACTGAAAAAAGTTAACAGGATTTGATGATTTCATAGCTGAACACTAAGCTTAACAGGCAAGCCATTCTGAACCATTTAAGACCCTAGAAGAAGACAATTCTCATTGTCTTTATGAAAGCAATCCTGTTACTACAACCTAATAAAAATACTGCAAAAAGGTTGATGTCATTCTAATCAGATGCAAAATATTTTAAATGTGATATTAGCTACAATAATCCAGAAATATGTAAGCAGACTAAGAAACTATGGCCAGTAGAGTCAATTGCAGGAATGAAATGTAGGTATCAGGAAATCAAGCAATGTAATTCATTAAATCAACACATTAAAGCCGAAAAATAAATGAACATCCCAAAAGATGCTGCAAAGCCATTTTGATAAACATTCAGGAGTTCTTTCCTTTTTTTATTTTTAAGTTTATTTATTTATTTTGAGAGAGACAGAGACAGCAGAGATGGGGAAGGGGCAGAGAGAGAGGGAGAGAGGAAGAATCCCAAGCAGGCTCCACGCTGTCAGCACAGAGCCTGACATAGGGCTCGGACCCAGGAAGCCGTGAGATCATGACCCGAGCCGAAACCAGGAGCTGCCATTTAACCAAATGAGCCATCCAGGAGCCTTAGGAGTTATTCTTAATAATAACTTCAAGAATATATGTACATGAGGAACCCTCGTAAATATGATATAGACTACAAAACACCGGTAAACATTATCCTAACTAGAAAAACACCCAAATCATTTTCATGGTAATCAGGAACTAGATAAGATTGCTGGCTCTTGTCATTATTATTCAGCATTGTCTTAGAGGTTCTAGCAAAGATTAGTAAGAAAAGATAGTAAAATCATTTTAAACACATTTAAAGTCATTTAAAAACATTGGAAAGGGAAGGATAAAACTTTCGTTTTTTGTTGGTAATATTATTGTTATGCCCAGAAATCGTGATCCCCAAAGACCACCAGGGAGCCGAGTCCAATGCAAAAGCAAAAGAGCCTTTATTCGAGCTAGCTCGAGCTCAATCCCCTACCTGCACTGACGCAGCGGTGAGATACCAGGGAGAGAGAGCGAGTTTCAAAAGCACAAAGGTTTTATAGGGGTCTAGGGGCAGTTGGTGAGGTAATGGCTGTGGCCTCAGCCGATTGGCTGGGGAAGGGTCGTGACCTCGGCCAATTGGCTGGGGAAGGGTCAGAGTCCTGTTACGCAGGTCGCTGGGTGTGTTTTGATCAGGAAGTTTGAATGGGTGAGCAGGAGGTTACTCAAGGGGAGGAGGCGCGGTCTGAGGTTTCTGCGATTTTCCAGGGAAAGGGGTCATGTCGGGGACATAGTCACTCAAGGTGGAGGACACAGAACAAGATGGAGTCGGCCAGCATAGGCTCGCCCTTTCAATTATATTCTTGGAAAATACAAGAGACATAAGAAAAAAGCACTTGAAATGGTAAGATACAGAGATAGAAAAATGACATACAACAATGAATAGCAGAAATCACCTAAATGTGAGCATGGGAAAAATTAATTTGTGGTTGCAATAAAATGTAAGGCAATACTGTGTGAAGAAAAGTATAAAATCCTAACAACAAGATTCAACCTAATGGAAAATCGTTCTATGTTCTTAGATATATCCTAAATTCTTAGATTTATAGACTGAATGTAATTAAAATGTTAGATCTCCCCAAATTCACTATATGCATGTATATATAATATTTATAATACATTAATTATGATATATACTACAATTCCAGTTAGAATCACAACACTTAAAAATAATATAAAATGTTCTTCAAGCTTATTTGAAAAAAATGAAAAGTCCAATAATAAGATGTATAAAGAAAGACCTAGTGAGTGCAGATATTAAAACATACCATACAGCCACTATAATCAAATAAATAGGGCATTGGGTTTTGAAACACATATGGTAGAATAATTGAATGGAAAATCTAGATTCCAAAATACACACTATTTTAATCTATCATGAAGTTTACATTTCATTTCAGTGTGAGAAGAAAGGTACACATTCAACTGGCTGTTCATCTGGAAGAAAACAGAAATGTATTTTCTATTTTCTCTCAGCATTTAAATAAATAAATCCCCGATAATTGAAGACTTCAGTGTAAAGAACTAGATAAAAAAAATCGAGGAGATAAACGAATTATCTAAATTATAAAAGAACATGTAGGAGCCTCCATATACAGTTTAGGATTTGTGGAGAATGTTCTCACCCAAGACAAGAAACCAACAGCTAGAAAAGATTTAAACAAGGTCAGTGAGGAATTGTAGAGGTCAAAATATATTTGCATCACAGATGACAGATAAAAAGTTAATATCTTTAAAATACCAAGAGTTTCACTAATAGGCAACAGAAAATAAAAATAAATATGAATGGATAATTTAGCCCAAAGTGGGCATAGTGGCCATAAGGTATGGATATTTATTTATTTATTTTTTTTTTAACATTTATTTATTTTTGGGACAGAGAGAGACAGAGCATGAACGGGGGAGGGGCAGAGAGAGAGGGAGACACAGAATCAGAAACAGGCTCCAGGCTCTGAGCCATCAGCCCAGAGCCTGACGCGGGGCTCGAACTCGCGGACCGCGAGATCGTGACCTGGCTGAAGTCGGACGCTTAACCGAGGATGCTTAACCGAGGATGCTTAACCGACTGCACCACCCAGGCGCCCCAAGGTATGGATATTTAAAATCATCTGTAATCGGAGCACCTGGGTAGCTCAGTTAGTAAAGCGTCAGACTCTCGATTTTGGTTCAGGTCATGATCTCATGGTTCATGGGGTGGAGCCCCACATCAGGCTCTGTGCTGTCAGCTTGGAGCCTGCTTGGGATTCTATCTCCTCTCTTTTTGTGCCCTTCCCTTGCTCACGCGCTCTCTCTCTCTTTCTCTCTCTCTCAAAATAAATAAATAAACATTAAGAAAATAAAATCATCTGTAATCAAAGAAATGCAAATTAAAGTAACAACACAATAACCCTTTACAGCCATGTAATTAACAAAGACAATAGAATGGTAACACTGTTACTCTCTTTGGAGGTAAGGATGCAGAGGAAAAGGTACTGTTGCACTTTGCAAACTGAAATGTGAATCGTTACAGTCCTTTTTATTTTTTTTTAGTGTTTATTTATTTATCTTGAGAGAGTGGGCAGGCACCCATGAGCAGGGGAGGGGCGGGGAGAGAGGAGACAGAAAATCCCAAGCAGGCTCTGGGCTCACAGCAGGACTTTGATCTCATAAATAGTGAGATCATGGTCGGAGCAGCAACCAAGAGTCAGATGCTTAACTGACTGAGCCACCCAGGCGCCCCCTGTTACAGTCATTTTTAAACTGAAGTTTGGCAGTATCTTCTAAAAATAAAAATTCACATGCACTTTGATCTACCAATCTCATTCCTAGGCAGCTATTCTGAAGAAATAAAAATACATACTGTAATAATATAATTTCACAAGAATGGTGTATCATGTTTATGACAGCATTATTCATACAGTTAAAATTCTGAAACAAGATGAATTCCCATAAAGAGAGGAATGGTTGAATCAATCTTTAAAATAAAAAAATTTAAATATCATAAAACATTATGCAGCCATTAAAAAGAATGAATTATAGCAAAATCAGTGGACTCCGTTAGGATTTCTATGAAGTATCATTGAGAAAATCTAACTGCAGAAATGTATTAACGCTGCATTTCTGTAAATGATACTAATAAACGATGACCGAAGTATGTCATAATGTTGTTTGTGAATGTGTGCACTTGTTTACAAGGCTAGGTTAACACAGAATACTTAGTGTCCTTTGGGAAGGAAGGAGGGAAGGAGGGGGAGGGGAAGGGGAAGGGAGGGGAGAGGAAGGAGGGACTGAGGGCTGGGGGAGGGAGGAAGGAAGGAATAAATGAGGGAGGTAGGGAGGGATCTGAACTATTTAAAAAGCCAGCATGATCTCCATTTATGTTCTCTTTGTGGAATAAAAACAAATAAAAGACTGCTGGGTTACCAATAGGCAAGCTTTCAGTCACTTATTTTCATAAGACCTGACTTTTCTACCTTATTGTTCCTGTGGCTACTATTCTGTTAGCAATTATGTTGCACTTGGCACACTGGGGAGAGTTCTTTTTCATCTTTCCAGCCTATTAAATAAACAGGCACTCCATGTTTCTTTATCACTCCATTTGTCAGGTGGTGTTTGTGCCACATAAAAAGACAGAACATTGCACAACCGTTTTGCCATGCTTGACAGTTTAACGTACCTGCCAATTGGTGTGCCAGCTCCATATTTTAAATATTTTAATTAAACAAAAATAGAAATCTATACAAGTGAACTTCTGAATAGCTGCATTTCTCTTAAGTCCTCGGGTTATAGCGTATTAAGAAGAGAAGCAGGAACCCATGCCTGTAAAGAGCTTTGCATAATAATTCTTGATTCTGGGAATGCCCATAAAACCAGGAGACTAAATCTTCAAGGCCATCTACTCATTTGGGAAATAAAGAGCAGCCACAGGGCGTGTCACTGCCTTCCTCAGTCTACCTCAAATGCAATCCTGCTCCCCTTCCCTAGATTTTCTACTTCTTGTTGGCGTATTCCTTCTCCTCCTGGGCCATCATCTGCCTGGTTCCCTGGACTTTTGTCTTGTGATCTCTTTGAAGCCTTCCTTCTCTCCATATCCATGGAGATCACACAGTTAGTTTAAAATCCACTGTTACATTAACTGACCTTTATAGCAAAGGTAGGTTTCAATGACCCTTTACACAGATCTGAACAGAAAGTCAGTACTCACAAAGCTAAGTGGATAGAACAAATCTAGTCCAAAATGTCTTGGGATTTCTTCATAGGGAGAATTCATATTCTTGTCTTCTGCAAATGCTCTCGTATCAAACTCTTATCACACTCCTCCCTTGCCTGTCTCTAGTGTAGCAACTGAGTATTTTGAGAGGAACTTTTTTTTTTTTTTGTATTAGAAACAGAAAATAATTCATTGCATTACTTTGGTATTCACACTCATGTGGAAGCCTGGAGGTTCAAGATGGAATATTAGAAGACAAATCTTTCATAGCTTGTCCTCCAAAAAAGAAAACAGGCTTTGGGAAATTTCAGGTTTCTCAGAAACTACACTTGACATACTGCTAAGCACTGTTCTGTTCCTGTAGAGACGGACAATTATGGGGAAATAATTTTGGGGAGCACGGCCACACTAAATGATAATGACCAAAGACGCCCTGGTGAATTTTGCCATTTTGCGTGACCTTGTACTTGATCTAAATATCAGAGGTGTTAAAACAATAAGAATGGCTACCACCATTTTAATTTGCCTAACGGTGCCCCGAGCACCAGTTCTTTGAAAACAGCTTGGTTTCCAGGCTGAGGTTACCATGGGGACTCAGTCTTTTGCAGCCCTCAGATGGCCATTCTTGAGGACTCTGCTGAATTTATGGGCTCTTGTTTTTGAGAATGTCTGACCATGCAAATGTTCCTTATGGTTGGAAATAGTAATTCTCTAAAACTGCTTGTGACCTCCTAAGGCATTGCCTGATGAATCAGAGGTGTTTGCTTAGTTGCTCAGGGAGGCCCGGGGTGCAGAGGAACAGGCAGGGTATGCTGTTTTCTGTGACCTGGACGCCCCCTCTGAGGCTGTTCCCACCCAGCGGTTTCCCGATCCCTCCTCCCAGCATCTGGGTTTGCCGCTCTGCTCTGAGGACTAAACCAGCTTCCAACCCTGCATGCACATTATCTCCTGATGGGGCCCCCTGGCGTGGGAGCAAAATCCTCCTTGGAAGGAAGTAAGATCCGTGAACACAGAGCAGAATTAAGTGAGATAGGAGAAAGGGGCGCTCATGGCCTCTGTCCTCTCAGGGACAGGCCATTGACAGGAGAACCAGACTGGAAGCCCACCGCCCAGATTTCTCTCTTTCCCAGGCAGACCTTGATGAGCATTCCCAGTGTTTACCTCCGAGATTTCCTTTCTTGTGGTTCCACTGCTGACAACTGCACATGTGGGCAGAACATTCTTTCTGGTTTCATAGAATCAGCGTCTAGTCACTTTGAACTGGGAGCTGTTT